CAGATGGACCCCATTTTACCAAGGCAAAGCCCGTCAAAGAGCTCTGATACACATGTACATGCAAATTGCAACGAGAAACGTCCTACATATGTTCTTTGCAAGCCTTGTAAGCACATGTGAGGTGCTGAGGATGCAGAGATCATGCTGTAGAAATGAACACACACTTTTAGTGTTTCTCAGAGGGTTGTTAGTGTGTGCATGAGATGACATGCTGTTTTACTCGAGGCATGAAATTGATTCAATTCCAAGTCCAAAATTGCCTTATTTTCCTTTGTTTTACCGTCCACTAAACGTATCCAATTCTAATTCTATTATGTTCTTCCTTACTGCTTTTCCATTACTTTCCTCTCATCTTCCGTTCTATTTTCTGCTCTAATTCCTTTTACCCAATCCTCTTCTCCCAGAAGTCACAGAAATTAACCTCCAAAAATCCTGATAACGTTCCACCATTTTTTTTTTCTTGCTCATCCTTTTTCTCGCTTTCGCTCTGTTGGATACATTCGCTCACTTTATGACCACCAAGTTCATCTCATCTAATCCACGCTGTGCTGTCACTCATTCTGATCGGTTGGGGTCGGAGTTCAGCTCTGTGATGTCACAGTCAAGTGATGCTATAAAGCGTGAGATCTGACGCTGCGCCAGGCTCAAATATTTGATCTATGCATTGCAAGCACTGTAAATGCTTAAAGCATTCTTGTACTCAATGGGAAGAGAGCATCCTTCAAATGATTGCACTATTAAACCAAATGTTATTGTTCAGGTAGCTATAAACTAAGTTTATACATTAACATGCTGAGCAAGCTGTCTGCTATTAAAGTAGAACAACAACTCTAGAAAGTAGTTTACACTAGTTCGTATAGCATCCGAAAGGATAAATGATGAAAATTCAATGCATGACTGCATTGCATCATTAATTGTATTTTGGCATATTTGGGAATGCAACAAAGCATGCAATCAAGCATTGAAACAGCATGTGCATTCATGTACTTGAGGATCAGTTTTAGGCCTCAGGGTTTTGGCTGAATTCTATCAATCTTCTCTAGATACAGAAAACCTTCACTGTCCACAAGTAATCCCATGCTGACCTACTCTTCCTTAAGTAGGTCTATGAGGTGTCATCACCTTACACTAACCCTAACGGCCATATTGCACAATGGAGATGTTGTTGTTAGTGAGTTGCACGCAAATCCAATCAGCTAAACCTGCTAAACACTTTCCCTTAACTCATTTAGCTGTGTGAGAAAGACATATATTTATATATCAAACAAGCAAGCAAGCTTGCTGCTAGCGAATATCCAAATTGCTTTGGTCATCTTTGCTCAGCCAATTAAAAGAGTGCCCGAAAAGATGATAATGAGAGCTAAGCGCTAACAAACACGAGTTGGTGGAAGTTGTGACGGATATCCGAGTGAAATGCCTTCTCAAACAAGAAAATGTCGCTGTTTATTTTGATTAAAGATTACAAGGGCATTAAAAAAAAAAGATGCGCACTGATAAATCATTTATAATAAATACTGCAATATTTCATTAAAAAAATAAATAAAAAAATGGTCAATTTTGATTTCATAATGACTTTAACCCAAACACTACCATATTACAAATGCAACAATCTCCCTCTTACTCTTTTAATAAAGCTCTAAATACACTGCTGAAGATTATTTCTCACAGTGTTTATTAGTGCAGCTGGCATGCGCTATAGTCTAATTCAGAACGCTTTCGTTTACATGAAATCTTTTGCCTTTCATTGCAACCTGCTGCTATTGATGGGTGGCCAGACATTGAGCGGTGAACGGTTATTGGCTATGTGTGACTTCCTTCTCTTGTTTATAGTGTAAATGTGACAGGTCATTAAAGTACACCTGAGTAAACACATCTTTATTAGCTCACATGCTTAACCTAATTAGATGCCTTATATTGTAAACAGCATCCTATTTGATGTTATAATTAACACCACAAATAAAATGCTTCTTTTGGCACAAATGGGAACTCACTGCTGCCATAAGATGTTCGACTCTAAAGACCCACAAGATGCTGCTGGGATTGTGTGTGAAGTCTAGAGAGACCATGTTTAAGGTTCATTTACCATATGCGCATATCTGATTACTTTGAAGAAGATACATGCAAAAAAACAACAACACAGCATTACATTAACCCTATAAACCCTTAAACCAACTTCCCCAGACCCAATACCTCAATACGTTTTATATATTAAAATAGACACTAAACCCAATAAATACAGAAATGTAACTGTTTTTAAACTAAAACATTTCCATTCAAATATAAGTAGTATGCATACATATATATCCAAAAGGTAAATTAATATAAAATACAGTAATAAAAAGAACATACATACATTATATATATATATATACACATACACCCACATACTGTATACACACACACATACATATATATATATATATATTAGGGCTGTCAAACGATAAATCGCATCCAAAATAAAAGTTTGTGTTTACATAATATATGTGTGTGTACTGTGTATAATTATTTTGTATATAAATGCACACATGTATATATTTAAGAAAAATATGTTATTTATATATAAAATGTTTATATTTATATAAAATATACATTATATATAGGCTACATTCAGTCTATATACAGTATATACATGCAAATATTTCTTAAATACACATGCATGTGTGGGTATTTATGTATTAAAAATAATTATACACAGTACACACATATATTATGTAAACACAAACTTTTATTTTGGATGCGATTAATCGTTTGACAGCCCTAATATATATATATATATATATATATATATATATATATATATATATATATATACACTCACCGGCCACTTTATTAGGTACCCCATGCTAGTAACGGGTTGGACCCCCTTTTGCCTTCAGAACTGCCTCAATTCTTCGTGGCATAGATTCAACAAGGTGCTGGAAGCATTCCTCAGGGAGTTTGGTCCATATTGACATGATGGCATCACACAGTTGCCGCAGATTTGTCGGCTGCACATCCATGATGCGAATCTCCCGTTCCACCACATCCCAAAGATGCTCTATTGGGTTGAGATCTGGTGACTGTGGAGGCCATTTTAGTACAGTGAACTCATTGTCATGTTCAAGAAACCAATTTGAAATGATTAGAGCTTTGTGACATGGTGGAAGTAGCCATCAGAGGATGGGTACATGGTGGCCATAAAGGGATGGACATGGTCAGAAACAATGCTCAGGTAGGCCGTGGCATTTAAACGATGCCCAATTGGCACTAAGGGGCCTAAAGTGTGCCAGGAAAACATCCCCCACACCATTACACCACCACCACCTTACGCCAAATTCTGACTCTAACATCTGAATGTCTCAACAGAAATCGAGACTCATCAGACCAGGCAACATTTTTCCAGTCTTCAACTGTTCAATTTTGGTGAGCTCTTGCAAATTGTAGCCTCTTTTTCCTATTTGTAGTGGAGATGAGTGGTACCCGGGGGAGTCTTCTGCTGTTGTAGCCCATCCGCCTCAAGGTTGTGCGTGTTGTGGCTTCACAAATGCTTTGCTGCATACCTCGGTTGTAACGAGTGGTTATTTCAGTCACTGTTGCCCTTCTATCAGCTCGAACCAGTCTGGCCATTCTCCTCTGACCTCTGGCATCAACAAGGCATTTCCGCCCACAGAACTGCCGCTCACTGGATGTTTTTTCTTTTTCGGACCATTCTCTGTAAACCCTAGAGATGGTTGTGCGTGAAAATCCCAGTAGATTAGCAGTTTCTGAAATACTCAGACCAGCCCTTCTGGCACCAACAATCATGCCACGTTCAAAGTCACTCAAATCAACTTTCTTCCCCATACTGATGCTCGGTTTGAACTGCAGGAGATTGTCTTGACCATGTCTACATGCCTAAATGCACTGAGTTGCCGCCATGTGATTGGCTGCTTAGAAATTAAGTGTTAACGAGCAGTTGGACAGGTGTACCTAATAAAGTGGCCGGTGAGTGTATATATATAAACTTTTATGTTAGATGTGATTAATCATTATCCTGCCTCACAAGTCAAACTGTTTCTCTCTTTCTTGTCTCTCTAAGGCCAACACAGCATCAGCAGAAAAAAAGCCAGCTTCCGCAGAACAGAAAGATAGAGAGAACAAAAGAGGATAAGAGCAATAAGACACCTCACAGAGGTCAGCAGAATGACATTTTGTCATCTTGAAATGAGGACCGATGCTAAAGGATGCCACGCTTTAAAGATTCCTACTGTATAGTGCCATGCATTACATTGCTGCTTTAAAGAAGACAAATGTAGGTCACACAAAGACAAACACAATTTATCAACCTATAAACCCAAGGGGGTGGTGAACTGGAGCTTTGAGATTAAAAATCTTGCTTTGTGACCTTTCAGGTCAGAACCCCACAAGAGCAGATTCACATATCATCGCCACTTGATCAAGACATTTAACCTCAATTTACTCCAAGAAGACTGAACCAGTACTGTAAAACAAAAGCTGAAAATAACCAATCATTTTGCCGATAAGTGATATTATGTTGGTATAAATATCTATACTGCTGTTGTGTTTCTAAAAGATAGCATTCACACAAAAGAGCCAAAATATAAATTGTTATAAAATACAGTAAAAATGGAACTGTAAACAGTAAAAATGTAAAAGTACTTGACTGTAGGCCTACTGTAAGATGCTTTGCATAAATGCTAATCCAAATCAATAAAATTATTATTCAATATATATTCAAATTAATTTGTTACTATTTAGGCTACATTTATTTAATTTACTGTTTAATTTACTATTACAATCTGAATTACAACATATCATTTTTTTAGAATCAATAAAAATAAATACTAAAAATAAAAAAATGACCTATTCACAAAAAAATTATTCTAATCATCAAAAGTAAACTATATTTACAATAAACTAAACTAAAATATCATTAAATAAAATTCTAATTATCAATAATTAGGCTATCTAAATTAAAGTCGAGCTCTTTTTATGAAGTTCCGGTTCTGGTGCAGTCTCACCTCACAGTCGTAAAGTTCGCTCAGCTGTTCAATGATCCATTCCTCCAGGATGAGTCTCTTCCTCAGCTCCTTTCTGTCGTACTTCACCGTCACTTTGCCCTGCTTTTTCTGCACCGGGTCATCGCGTTGCATCGGTCCGGAACCGGCGCAACCGACGCCAGCCACGCCGGGCTGGAAGAACACCCTGGCCGCGGCCGGGGGAAGCTGTGCGCTCGTCTCAGCGCTGGCGGTGGACATTGCGTCGGTGATGGTGGCGATGAGGATGATGATGGTGGTGTCTGAGGGGTGTATGTTGCAGGACACAGTTTCTCACACCTGCTATTTAAAGCGCAGCGCGAGCATTTAAAGGACGCCCGGCGCGTGGGAGGGGAATGGCAAGCCAATGTGCGCGTTCGCGTTAACGCTGTCAGTGCCAGAGCGCGCACAGTATTGGTGAAACGGGAATCCCTCTGCGCTGGTTGGACAGTATCAGATGGATAGTTTGACAGCTACCATGGTTTTAAATTGTTATCATATTCATAGAGGCTACCATGTATGTAATGTATATGTATGTATGCATCTATCTATCTATCTATCTATCTATCTATCTATCTATCTATCTATCTATCTATCTATCTATCTATCTGTCTGTCTGTCTGTCTGTGTATTTATCTATCTATCTGTCTGTCTGTCTGTGTATCTATCTATCTATCTATCTATCTATCTATCTATCTATCTATCTATCTATCTGTCTGTCTGTCTGTCTGTCTGTGTATTTATCTATCTATCTGTCTGTCTGTCTGTCTGTCTGTGTATCTATCTATCTATCTGTCTGTCTGTCTGTCTGTCTGTGTATCTATCTATCTATCTATCTATCTATCTATCTATCTATCTATCTATCTATCTGTCTGTCTGTCTGTGTATCTATCTATCTATCTATCTATCTATCTATCTATCTATCTATCTATCTGTCTGTGTCTATCTATCTATCTATCTATCTATCTATCTATCTATCTATCTATCTATCTATCTATCTGTCTGTCTGTCTGTCTGTCTGTGTATCTATCTATCTATCTGTCTGTCTGTCTGTGTATCTATCTATCTATCTATCTATCTATCTATCTATCTATCTATCTATCTATCTATCTATCTATCTATCTATCTATCTATCTATCTATCTATCTATCTATCTATCTATCTGTCTGTCTGTGTATCTATCTATCTATCTATCTATCTATCTATCTATCTATCTATCTATCTATCTATCTATCTATCTATCTATCTATCTATCTATCTATCTGTCTGTCTGTCTGTCTGTGTATCTATCTATCTATCTATCTATCTATCTATCTATCTATCTATCTATCTATCTATCTATCTATCTATCTATCTGTCTGTCTGTCTGTCTGTGTATCTATCTATCTATCTATCTATCTATCTATCTATCTATCTATCTATCTATCTATCTATCTGTCTGTCTGTCTGTCTGTCTGTCTGTCTGTGTATCTATCTATCTATCTGTCTGTCTGTCTGTGTATCTATCTATCTATCTATCTATCTATCTATCTATCTATCTATCTATCTATCTATCTATCTATCTATCTATCTATCTATCTATCTATCTATCTGTCTGTCTGTCTGTGTATCTATCTATCTATCTATCTATCTATCTATCTATCTATCTATCTATCTGTCTGTCTGTGTATCTATCTATCTATCTATCTATCTATCTATCTATCTATCTATCTATCTATCTATCTATCTATCTATCTATCTATCTATCTATCTATCTGTCTGTCTGTCTGTCTGTGTATCTATCTATCTATACATCTGTCCTCAACAATATAATGCAATACATAATAAAGCAATACAGAATACAATACAGTAAATAAATAGCGTAATATAAAATGTAATGTGCAGTACACAGGATATTTTTGGATTGCATATACACTCATTCTTTAAAAAAGTTTGATACTGGTTTGATATTTTGCTTCATAATTAATGATACATATATGGAGGCCATTGTATTTTAACACAATATATGCAACACTAAAATGATACTGCAGAATACAATACACAGGTGGAGTATAAGTAAAACAAAGGAAAACATGTCAAACATGTCACAGGATTCTTGCTAAACTGGTCCTGGTTGACATAAATCAAATGCATATTGTCACCTAACTCAGAGAAAGAGTTGTCTGTGTTATCTGTGTTTTATGTTGATCCAGATGTTACTTGTATGTTAGATGGGAGCTGAGGTGGGATAGAGAGCGCAGTGAGGAGAGAAAGTGATCAGGGTTTACGTAACGTAATGAAACTCTCACTAATGAGATGGCCCAATCCCAAAACAGCAGTGCTGCTCTAGAAAGAGAACAAGAGAGACTGAGGGAGAGATTTAGTACCACCATGTTCTCATTTATATACTTTATAATGCTTCCTAATAACCAAGTGGGATGCATGATGTGTGTGAGCAGCCAGGATGATGGATTGCTAGACAAAACGCATTGTGTGTGTGTGTATGTGGATTAGAGGTTATGTGGGGAACTGGGGATATTCAATATTAAATCATCCAATCCAAAAATACACGGCTTATTGTTCTGTTTTTGTACGTTCTGCATTAAGCTGATAAGAACAATTCTTAGAAGTATTTTTTTCCTGATATTTTATGCATTTGTTTGTGTGTAACAGAGAGTGATGTCAAATTATGTCATGCCCAAAAATAACAACTGGCTAGCAAAATTCACACACACACACACACACACACACACACACACACACACACACACACACACACACACACACACACACACACACACACACACACACACACACACACACACACACACACACACACACACAGACACACACACACACACACACACACACCCCATTGGTGCACTTTGCAGTCATTGACTTATATTCTTATTATACTGAGATATTACAAATTTTCTCTGTCTCTTTGATGCATTTCTCAGATCAGAAATGAAATTCTCAAAACTACTTGTTCAACCTCCACATCATTTAGTCACTTGTGCACATCAACAAAGCCGTTTCTCATTCTTTTGAACAAGTTGGGATTGGTTTGGTACATTCCTGCAATTGATTATGTACAATTGTCTGTGGTTTCCTACATTATCAGTTGCTAATGCCATGTTGCTCAAAATGTATAGTTCTCTGTGCAATAGTCTTACCCCTCAAAACATCTAGTGATTGGTTCATCGTATACAGAGGTGTAGTGGTAAAAAAAGAGGTGGGTAAACTATAACTTCTGGTGGACCACGACGTGGTCACCCGGTAAGGTGGGCCACTGCGTATGTGTATCCTGATGTCCTGATGACATTGCTATTAGGCAGGGCTCGACATTAAGCCTTTTCATACGCTTGTCCTGACCTTAGGACAAGTAAATCTGTCATTCACTGGTCCGAGTAAAAAAGTTTCTCGTCAGGTTTTTTTTATTTTTTCTTTTTCTTTTTTTTATTCTGAAACAATATTCTCATCAGTGTTCAATTAGCTTTGATATTTAAATCGGCATATTGTAATATTTGCACCTTTAAAGGGCATCCCCTCCCCAATATTATTAAATGTATGCTTCATCTTTCATTTTAAATTCCTAAATTTGATCAATAAATTCAATTATTTCGAATAATAAGACACTATAGGGCTGATCAAATTAAACCATTTACACTGAAAAATTACAATTGCATAAAATAATGTTATGAAATTGATTTAAATTTACAAATAAGAAACGTTGGAAAGAATGATCTACTTTTAAACATAACACGAAACCGCCAGTAGGTGGCGGCAGGCGACCGTCTTAATGAGTGAGTCATTGATTCATTCATGATTCAAACGATTTGTTCAAACGGCTGATTCATTCAAGATTGAGACAGATGTTTATGAATGGGTCATTGAATCTTTGACTCAATCGATTCGTTCAAAATGCTGAATCATTCAGTAATGAAAACAGGTTGAGTGTTCCTGTGAGATGCGCCGTGGTTCTGCTGTGATTTTTGTTTGGAACTATTTTCGCTGCTGAAACAGAACAAAAACAGCCAATATTGCATCTAAAATGTAAGTGACTTAATTTTAACTGTTTATTGAACTGTTGTAGGAAATCAATGTCACATTTTCAATCGTGATGGTGTTCAGGAAAAATAATTGAGGTTGCTTAACATATGTTAAAAATATAAAAACTCCACATTAAGATTTTTTATAGGCAGTATGTTGTTAACTGAGTGTGTGTGTGCGCTCATTTGTGTAGATTTCTCCTCGAGAGGCTGCGCGAGCGTCAACAGCGCAACCTTACCGTCAGTAAAAGTCAACAACACTGACAGTAATGCAGCGCAATATGAAAGAGTTCGTCTTAGGTTTAACAACCTAAGAAACTAACTAATAATTAACAATATGAAACTAAAACGACATAAGCTTAATTTATAGCTATTTAGAGTTGGATAAACGCAATTTAGAGGTGGATAAACGCACTTTGGAGGTGGGTAAACGCTATTTCCGAATATTGGGAGGTGCGTAAACGGCGTTTACGTGCGTTTAGCCTCCACTACATCCATGATCGTATAAGTCATTAAATGCAAAACGGTATAGTTGTCATAAAATGTCAAGCATATTTTCTGCACATTTCTATTAGACTTTTTGTAAATGTGCCATGAATTGATGAATTAGGTGAATCTTGACTTTCACTAATGAATAGAATGTATCAAACAATGAGAAACCAGTTCTCTGAAATAACTCAAAGTTGCATCTCATGAACCTTCAATTGGAAAGCATACACAGTGCTGCATGCAAAAGCAATGTTCTGCCTGAGGGGTCTGTCCGTGTTTGCCTTTCTAATGTTGTATTTTCACCTTTGTGTCCCTATTTCTTTTTCTTTTCACACTAGTGTAATGTTGTTGTTTTTTTGTCAGACCACTAGTAAAAGTGTAACTGTGAATCCTATCCAGTCTCTTTCAATCAATAACTCACGTACAGTAGTGTGTAAATTTGTACTTTTGAAATGGATATATGGCATACAGAAGAAGCGCAGCTTTGTCATCCAAACTGTTGCCATAGTTTACACCAGGTAATACTAACAGAGTGCAGTGTTTTATTGACAACATGACTAAGCATTTTTATATCTTATTTTGTTTGCGAACAATGACACAAGGACTTTTCATTCTGATGGCACTGATATGTCCATTGACATAAATACTTACTTTTGAACTAAAGATTTTGAGTAAAGTTACAGACTTTTGCAGGAAATCCAATGTGTGGTTCTGTTTGTACGAATTGTTTTGAGAATGCACATACTTCTTTGCAAATATTAAGG